GTTCTATATATCATGAACAGTTATAATTATTACTGCTACCGCGTATTACGTTTTAATGTTATTCACGTTCATATCATAGTAGCTCTATTTCAACTGTTATTACTGTTACTAGTATATATTATATTGTAACGATTAAGCTGTTCTTTAATCATACTACCTTACCCCTGCTAAAATTCGACCGCAGACCAAGATCAGACCCCCCTTCTTGTATTTTGCATTGTTCGACGCGAGGCAATGTCTTCACAAACATACTCATCTTGAATCTAGCGTTTACTAATTGGGGTCAGTTAGTGATTAGGGACTTTTTTTTCTCTTGCAATCTGATAACTAGTTTCATTGTGTTCATGATCTAATTCGCGCCCCCGTCTGCGTTCACCACGTGACCCGTATATACGTATGGCTGTTTTCATGCCTGTTTGAAAATGTTGAAGTTAGCAATTTTTCTCAGTTCTCTCAGCCAGCATATGGGGTCCCGTATGCAGAATATCGACTACAAAGTAACCCGTGATTGTATTGTGTTCGCCCCCAGGAGTTTGCTACTATATACACGTGTTACTATACGACTTGGGCCGTGCGTGATCTTACCGCTGTGACGTGTTATCCGATATTGCAATTACGGTGTGCGTCTGTGATTATTCTATATATAGACACATAATAAGTGTGCCTGAAGCGAGAGGCATTTCTGCATAGCTGTGATATCGTGATCGGTATTATCATTCGCTGAGGTGCTGTTTGTCGTTTACCGTATTTCTTGCGGTTATCCAGTCTATTCTACACTTCACCTCGTCTTTCATTGATTGTTTTCACCAACTCGCATTAGATAGCACTTGTCCTGCATCGAGTAATTGTACCATTGTATCGTCAGCCATTGTTGTTTCAGACCCTAAAATTGCTCACCCTAACCAATGTGTGTCACTTTTGATATTGTTACATTATGGGTCTGTTTGATTGCTCGATTGGTACATATACACTTAGTGTAGTGCACGATATACGTAACACCTATCCTATCGCTAAAATCGTACTCTTACTTGACAGATATTTATATCTCAGTAATGGAAATCGTTGATAAGAAAGCTACTTGACGACAGCTCCGGAATATATTTGACTTTCGGTTAGAATAGTACCTATTCTGTGGGCGTCTGTTTCGTTACTCGCTCGAGATAACAGTAGCGAAAAAGCATATTGTGTTTATCTTTGCAAATATAGCATGCAAACGATACCAATCATGCCAACAATCAACTGGACCATGAAGAAACCGTGTTTACGATTTGCTTTACTGCGTGATGCGCACACCTAGAAGCCAACTAAAATCAGGTTGATAATAAAAGGATCAAAAACAGCTTTGAAATTCTTTAAGTAGGTGTGTTTAATTTTGCCACCACCATTTTTGATCTGTTCCAATAATTAACTTAGAGAAGAACCCGTCAACACAATCGGTTCTATCGAAAAATTTATTATGTTCCTTCGTAGGGAATCTATATAGTGATAACAGGAATAGTATACCTTTGGCAATAAAGGAAAATAGAAGACGAACAAAAGTGAGGCGCGCCTTTTGGATCGGCGCTCCTCACCCCGATGTGGGGTGGCGGGGTCGGCGACTCGTTTATCCGTTCGTTGTCCTTCGGTTTTTGGCACAATTTGTGTTAATGGCCGTTCGACAGTGACGGCATGTTTTTCGAAAATCGTGTGTTAAACGACAAAAGGCAAACACCGTCAAAAGATCACTTCTTCCTCTGTTCGACTCCAGCTGCGGTCGTCATTTTGATGGGGGTTGGCAATTAGTCAGGAGAAAAGATGGAGTGTCTTTGAACGGTTATCATCAGGCACCTTCACCGGATGAAATTTGAGCAAAATCTGGGAAAAGTCAAATGCAGATGCTCGATTTGTCCGGAGACCATTTTCGTAAGGTGCCCCTGGGTTAACCGTTGGGAAACGCCGACTGGAACACTGAACCCGCCAACTTCAAGCTTGGAAAATCAATGTTAAGCAACAACCTCTTCAGCTATATGGATCTTGCAATTTAAGGTACTAGTGTCCTAGGTGGGCCTGAATTTTCATCTATTTGACACGTTTGCCTGTGGAACGTGCATTCGACCTAAAATTCCGTCCTTCTCTAGACGCAGTTACCATCGTCGATCTCAGGCCGTAAACAAATGCTTTCGAGTGATGTATGAACCAACAGCAAAGGTCTTTCGAAGAAAAGTAATTGAAAAAACGTTACGAACTTATGCTTCAAGGGTTCGAGTGTATGTAGGTTAAGTGTTAAGTTCGAGTGTAAGATAAAATGGTTTAAAGACTCTTAATTAAAGTACTTTACTAGCTAAAACTATATAGGTGTGGTAAATTTAAAAAAGAATTATCATCACTTACACAAACGGAGATATCAATGTTCGAAATCGAAAGCTGACAATAATAGATTAGTTAACGAAAATAATATTCTTTAGCAAAAATCAAAGCTGACTGTTTCTTGATTGCAATTGTTCTCTATACGTGTATATAGTTTAACTTCATTAGAGAATTAGTTTCCGTCGAACAAATTGACAATTTGTATATTTTTTTTCTATAAAAAATGGCAACAGTAAAAAGTACTAGCAACGAACAAAATTTGTCCTTAAAAAATATGTTAACAAGTTACCCGAAGCTGGCTCTAAGAAAAGGAAAAAATAGCAGACCTTTACGCATTAAATCCTTCTTGACCATCTCTATCATAATGTTTATCATGCGCCAGTCAGCTTAAAGTCTAGAAATTCAAAAAAAAAAAAAGAAAATGTCCGTACGCTACAGTAAATTCGTTATGTCGATTAAAGGTCAACAACCAGGATAAAGCATTTTACCTATAAACATGCACACTGTTATATCACGATGTTGTGTGATGCGTCAGGAGAATCCTGCCGCTCATTCTTGTGCTAACTATACGATCATAGTTGTACTTCTATTACTATTCATATCATTACTAGGGTATTAGAATATTTGATGATAATAAGTAGTATTCAGGCGTGCCACCACCGTGCCGACGGCTCGGTCGTTCAGCCATCGCTCTTTTTGTACAAAGTTCAGGCGTCAATAGTCTCTGTATTCTTCCGGTTTGTGTGTCATTATCTGTCCCTGTGTGTCTGTCTCTGTGTATCTATATAGTCCCGCTTCTTATCGCCGTCAATATCGAGCTCACACTCTTTGTTTACTCTGTAGATGTTTGTGTATCCGTTTCCTTGCTCGTCGTTCCCGTGCCGTCGTGTTGTACGTAGCTGCTATAACCATGCGTCTGCTGATGTGGGTTATCTTATAGATGGTGTAAACACTGAGAGCATCAGACGAGGCCTTCACTGCACGGACCAACTTCACTTATTGTTCACGACAGCATCGAACGGTAGTGAACAGAACATAGTTTTGAATTTTTCAAGGACTAAATGCTTGCCGCACATGATTATTTACAAGAAAAAAAAACATTATGAATAGTCAAAGGCGAAACATTGCTTCGAACCGTGACTATTACCAGCTGGTTAGAATGCACGAGCGACAAGAAACATGCATAATTTGTTTGCACTGTATTTTTTTAAGTTGAGAGGCTATAGAATAATTAAGAAAAATTTAACTTAAGGACCAGCCACTAGCAATTTGCAGTACGGGCTCGAGGACAAATGAGAAACGTTTACTATCATTTTAGATGTTTCATTTTTGAGTGCAGAAATGTGCTGTGGAAATTGGGTACTGTGTGTAGTTAGTGAGAAAGGTGAAGGGATTTACTGATTTAAGCTTCTACAAAGTATATCTGCAAACATAATGATGGTGTGACTGAGTTGGTATCGATTAGTGGTTATTTTCGCGATGAAAACATGCCATAGGGGAATCATTAACATGTTCATAGCGGCCCTTAGCGGCACGATTATGGCCATCATTGTCTGAACATCATACCCTAAGATTCAGCTCATTTTTTTACTTCAAAGCTCAATTTGGTATAGTCATTATTATTAACACCAGCATGTAGCAACGAATTAATCATCAGGTCTTCTATAACATGCACGGAATAGGGGTCCTGCTTTTATGTCTATCTATGTGTGCCAGTCAGAAGCTAGATTCTGTGCCAATCCATAATAGCTGGCCCGCTTCCGTTTATGACCCGTGTTGCACACGAAGTCAGTCGGTATGTATGACTGAACAAATTATTGCGAAGAAGATCCATCATATACATGGACTGTCATCCGTACATAATTTCAACCTGTTCTCCAAGGTGTTTAATACTCCGTAATATTCGTGGTTCATGCGCTCGAGCGTCGGTGACACTTTCGCAAGAACATCAGCTGGTTTCATGAAGTTGATCACGTTCCATATCAGTGTACGTATACTATATTGGGTGTACGTTTCCTCATTCCTTCACTTCCCATGACGACATCCATCTTCTGTCAGATGAAGGATAATTTACGCTGCTGCATTTTCGCGCTTCGTTTGATCATTATCACTGGCCTTATCATATACCTTATTGGCCTGTACATTACCGTATCTATTTCTGTACGAATTCCATGTTATATAACGATACAATCGGCTGTGCACTGTTGACTGTGTTTATATGCGAATGTAAGCACATGTCAGTATAATCAAATATACGTACTCATATATATATATGACACGTCGACACAACAGTTTTGTCCTATATGATATAAAACAATTATTTAAAAAAGCAACACCATACAACAAACACATAGCAACAAGGGACGACCTTGAAGTCCTATTGTGAGCTTACGGATAGCAAAAACGTAGAATAGAGCACAAGATCGAAACTCGTATATGTATGCAGTTGTTACAGGGTGTTGTTTTCAAATAATTGCTTTATATAATACAAGATAGAACTGTATAGTGTCGATTCGTTCCGAATGATGCCTGTGAATAGCTACAAAAACAATACTCACCCTATATATATATATATATATATATATATATATATATATATATATATATATTATGTGTGCTACTCAGTATTGCAGTGATTTATATTAAAAATCAAGTCAAGAGTAATTTCTCTCCTACGAGCGGCCAGCTTTATGACTACTAAATATATCGATGGCCTTCGCAAAATGAACTTTCTGCTGTGTTTCGTTACTCTATGGTTAACGCAATTCCTCCAATATTGCGATTATTTGTCATTCGTCGAGATATGCATTTCAGCATTATGTGTGTGCATGTAAGTATATAAGTTAAGTTATAAGTTACTTATGCGTGTACAACGAAGCATTGTGTTGGCTAAATTTTCGACGTGGACAATTGGCAGCCAGCTGTTGCCTTTGGCTGCGTTGTATGTTTATGAATGGCTATATCGCTTGCTCTCATACACAAAGATAACAGTGACAATACACACTTTCTTCCGGGATTTATTCTCGGTTTGGTAGACACGTGGTGCTGGTTTGATATTACGATATCAAGTGTGACCCGTGGAACGTTTCCGTCCCATCTGCTCTGGATCAGTGAAAACGTCACACGGTACCGTACTACCAATCGTAGCTAGTTCCGAATACAGAATTCATTGTTTCAACGCCACCTGGATCAAGCTCTGTCACCCTCGTTTTTAGATAGGTTTGACTAGATATTCGCCAGACACATTTACTACTGACGTCATGCTATTAATTTCGAAAATTATACTTAATCTACATTGGCAGATTGGCTTTAGTAGCACACAGGTTTTAGCGTATTTCGAAAATTGTATCCGAATTTATCTTCCATAGTATTGCAGTACATGTATGTATATAAGTTACTCTATCTGCCGTATTAGGAGCATACAGGTACATGTACGCTCCTGATACGGCACGAGTAACTTCTATCACGCGATGTGACGAAGATCTGTCCTTGTTCAATTCGAGACTTGAATTTAGCAGTAAACTGTAAGGAGAATTTTTTTATGATAACAACAACAACAACAATTCATACTGCGTAAAAAAGAGGATGCGCATACATATACTTGATTATATTATATTTTTAATTTTTTCAGCAAAATAGTCGCGCGACAGTACGTACATGGCACCGCAATGTATTACCACGGTCATGTTACGCATTGATCAGAACATAATTAGCTTACGACCAAATCTGACAAGTAGACAATTATCAACTATCGTCGTTTACATATATATAGAGACGTGAATATTTTCGCTCTGTACTCCTTGCATTGGCTTTCAGGTGGTCGTATACAGTCCATAGAATTGGCCGACGACATTTTTACCGGTAGCTAGAATTTACGATAAAATTGTATGACATTGAACGGTTACCTGTTGCTTCTAATTCTATTTCGACGTTCTCAATACTTACGAAAGTTCGAATCAATGAATGAGAGTAAAATTCTAGTTTGAGCTCATTTGAGTCAGTAAACGAACCCACAGCCTCTTCACGCTATGCGATGTCCATTAGAGACCCCTAACGACGCAGGGAGCCGATGGCCGATGTAGGTGTTAACACCACAAAAAGAACCACCATACCAACGCAAAGGTATTGCGCTCCGACCGCCGAGGGTCGTTGCGATTGGCTTTCTCCTTCTTTCTGAAACCAAATAATAAATTCTTGCAGGCTTCGTTTATTTGGTGCGTCATATAACTTTCGCTAGGACTGTGAGTTAAATCAAATGCATAAAATTGGCTATGTAGAATAAAAATCCGGATGATTGTGGTCCACAGTGTCTTGTTTCGCGAGCATTTGGACGAAGTCTCAATTTAGCTTCCAGAGTTTTGCCCATCGTTATTGTCCGGATCGTCACTCGGCCACAGAGTTTTGATCAGAGAGAAGCGACGACCTTTGACGATCACGGGTGCGAGTTTTTCGCTCTTCAATTCGCTGATTTAAGTCGACCGCCTCGGGAAGGTAGCTTGACCTCCACCGGAAATCGAAACGCATTCCGACGGGACGGTCGACGGCCTGAAATTAGAACGATACGGAAAACAATGACCCTTTGGAAAAAACAAAGAACGCAACGTCAACGCTAAAAACAGCCGCAGCAGCTAAATCGGCCCCGAGTAAACCTAACTAAACCATATTGACTCGGGCCGTTATGCGTACATACTTACATAAGGCGCGTTGTTTTATTATATTATCTTATAGCACTCTTTCGAATCTAGCTCTCAGGAGCTTGTGACCCATCAACGTGTGGTACGATCTAATCTAAAAGCTGAAAAACACACTTCAAGATCTTACTGTACAACAGAATGGATTACTGACGGCAAAAATAAACGGATCGATAGATAATGCTGATTCTTGCCAAAATGCGATTGTGCTCTCTAAAAAACCACGAAATATTTGATTTCCTACTAAGAACCGCACTGTAGTCTCCAACTACAGATATAGCAGGAAACAATTAAGAAAGGATAATCCTATAATCCTACTGGTCTGCATGCGGAAAAGGTCATAGATCGGTTTTAGCTTAATCAATATAGGACAAAACTACCATCAACGTTAATAATGTCATAAGACTAAAGCCTCGCAAAACGGCCGATCGAAAATTGCGACTCGAAAGGCCGTTGTATAATATGCTTAGTTGGTACGGAAAAATAGATGTCTCGAAAAGGTAAATATGCGGTTTTAGCAGAGCCCTGGACCTGTAGGTTTTGTAAACTAAGCCAAAAAATCAATGAATACGTTTAAATCAGTACGATAGCATTTTACGACCCGTATATATCTCTGTGTGCCGTCGCCGAATGTATCATTCGTCCTTTCGATTCTGAATGAAGTTTGCTTCATATTCCTATCTTTATTACACGACACATCAAGTCTCCTATGCAGAGACGGAGCTCTTCGGGTCGTAGATTTTGATTACTTCGCTCAGTGTGGTCTATAACAAATGGAACATCGGCTTCAGATGTGCTAGCTTGCCATTATTTTTAGGTCGTTGTTGACAGTAAGTGCAAGGAAAATATCAAGGGGCATAATTAAAGAGTTTTTTTTTAAGAATGACATAAATAAGAATATTACACATGCTCTGTCACTATTCTAATGTCAAGTAAATAATTTCACATTATATACCTTCATTTACGAATCATTTTAACTACTGCAGATGTATATACTATTGATCCATGCGTACCCTCGAATATTTATAGCCCTTGTTTACTTACAGTTTTGGCAGCATGGGAACGCCATTTCTGTTTAAATATTGTATAGAAAGAGTTCGATCAGTTCACTTCCTACCTGTCTTCAATTACCTGTGTTTAAACACTGTGCTTTGTAGGGTACGCTTCCAGTGATCAACCGTATCCTGAAGGCGGCCCAACCACAGCAACTAATGAAAAAGAAGGTAAATACATACACGATAAACGCTGAAAGGGTAGATGGTGAATGCTGTAAACAACAATTGTATGAAGCGATCAGAAGACCCTAGAAAATCGCAATGGTACCTTTTCACTTCTCCGGCGTTCTGACATTATAGACAAACAAAAACAACTTACGAAATAAGATAAGAGTAATATTCGTTTCAGCTAAAGTTCGAGAGAAAAAAAAAACTGGATAAAAATCTCGGGTGTACTAGCTTGTTGGAATGGCACGGAATGCTCGGCTCGTGATCCAGTCATTTGGATGAAAGCAAATGGCGAGCTTTGGGCCGAAATTGAAAGGATTCATGTTTTTTTCCTTGTCGCAAAGAGTAAGGGAGACTCACTTGCGCCATAAATCAGACTTAACGCATAGCTAGCCGGTAAGGGGACTTCTTAGAAGACGTAAAGAGAAGGGTCGTGAAAATGGTTTGCGTTTTCCGTATCTCTGAAACCTGAATAGGCAGCTTGTGGTAGGCAGTCAAAGTATTAGGTGAGTAAATTGAAAATGCTTAGAATATTCTCTACCAAAAAGTTACTAAAAAAACGTTTCGAGTCGAACTGAAGACAGATGGTTATGGCGCGGTCCGTGTAGAAGGCAAGCATTACTAACACCAGTCACCACGCTGCGCGTCATAAAGAATCCTGTCAATGTAGCCACAAACAAGGGCAATATCACCCGGGGTCAAAAAACTTAGCTGAATTGCTATTTAGTTTATATAAAGAGGAGAAAATTTTAGGGTGCACAGGCGCTTTAAGTACCTCCGTGCTAGAATTAACGTAGTATCCGGATGGAGGAGCGATCTTGCGTTTGCAAACATTAATCAAGTATCAAACCAATGAGAAGATTATATATATTAACATACTGCAGATAATAGCAACCTACTACGTAAAGGTTAGTATTATAAAAACATTAAGTTGTTAGGTGCTGCAAAAAAGGCTGGCCTTAACGCGACGTTTTGCAAACCTTAGAGGTCTCGTTCTGTGCCTGGAAGGTGTGCACGTTGACAACTTGCTGGAAACGGTTGAGACAGACAAACACGAACGCGTTGCGTAGATTGTTGGCTGAAATACCGCATAGAGCAAATAGAGATTATGCCGTTTTTCTTTTACTTGTGTACGATGCGCTTTATTTGTAAATAACTTAATTCAGTAAATCAATAATAAATTATTGATTTACAGCTAAACAGGCGCGAGAGGCTATAAATTTTCTTCGAATTCAATTATCAGTGCGGCCATATTATTACCTGAAGTGACATGTGTTATTAACTGTTTAGAGCTACTGTGCTGCCTCTTTCTGCACCTTAATGGCTGTATTGTATCTAAGATTTTGCATACACCTACACATTTCACTATAAAGTCCAAAAAAATTCTATTTTATATTTCGTTGTTATTGCCATATTAGCCAATTCGAGGGAATGCGCACGTTCCCTCTGCGTCCGCAGCCGAAATATGCTCGCTAACGCCTTTAAAGAATGGGTCGGTAAGTAAACGCGAAACTGTGTATAAGGATATGGGAGCATTTCAGAAGCAGCTGTATTCCCGGCCCACCGCTCCTGTTCAACTATAGTGACGGAGGCAGCCACAATCAAACGAAAACGTTGAGGACAAGGAGGACGAAACGTGGAAACGATACCGTTGACGATGGGAGGCGAATGAGCAAGTTATTGCCCTTTGCACGTGAGCTGTTCTTAGCTGGATCACCTCGACGGGTCGAATTTGATGAGCGAGGAATTCCGATAAGTTCAAGCGCCATAGTGCTAGAGGCCACTTAGGTCAGGTTTAAAACCACCGGTTGGACGGTCTAGCGGGCCACTGTCTGACAAATGACTTAACTACGGGCGAATAGTGGGAAAGAAGGCGGTTAGGCCGGTCTAGTGACGAGGTTGGAAGAGACAGTATTAACATACATTACTGAAAAAAAAAAAAAAAAGGTTTCGGAAAGAGCTTCCCACCACAGGCAATAAAATTGTGCCTGATGACGATTCATTAGGTAGGGCAGAGAAAGAACCGATCGAGCTAATTTTTCTCAAAGCACGAATATATGCTAGAATCGTGCGCCCACTAAGATATATATTGCAATACTACGTTCTTGTTTATGGGCTGTTTGTCTACTGTGGCAAATGCATTTTCGTGCAAGCGCATTCGCAAAAATTTTATCATCTGCCACAAAAGCAAGGGATAGCCCTAGGGGGTACCTATAACAGCAGTATCTTACTCTAGTTAGTTATCTTTATCTCTTAAAGTATGTGGAAAGTAATAAAACTGTTACTTTTCGCTTCGCTCCCTTTTTCTAATTTTGTCATTTTCACATCAAAAATACTATGTTTGAACATTTTAAGCCACTTTTAACTGGTGGTCTTAACCAAGGAGTCCTCGTCGTGTCGTCCGAGCTCAAAAGAAAATCTGTAAGCTGAATGAACCAAAAATAGAGCGGACGGACAAAAAAGCAGTTATCCAACCAAGTGCAATACTTCAACTAAAATCAAAGGTGTCATTACTTGTCGAACAAGTTTGTAATAGACGTATGACCTGCATGAATGAGATGCAATTTCTATGTGTGTTACAATAAATTATGCAGTAATTTTCCAGGTACTTCATTTATCCACTCGCGTTCGTAGAGAATAAAAATACCATTACTGTGATATGTATAGTCAAGAGGAATGATGATGTGAGACTTAATGCAGGTGCTACAAAAGACCGCGCATTGAATTGAATTTTACATTTTTTTCTATTTACAAAAAGTAGGTCTCTGACTTTAAGTGACATTAAGTGAAATTATAATAATATTTAATCCACGGCTGCGCATCCTAACCCCTTGAATAATTAACAATAATTATACAGAAGTTAGAATCTAAGTTCTCATTCTAATTTACCAATGTAAAAGACAAGAATGGGTCAATCGCGCCTCAAATTGACTCGAGCTGACAATGACAACCAATTAAGGCAATGTGGGAGCTATATGGCATGTCCACGTTTTTATTTATTACATACATTCTATTGCAACGAGCGGCATAAGGCGACTGGCGGTTGTTGTTCTTTACTGGGTAAGTGGCAAAGGCCGCGAAAATTCTAGGCTGCAGCTGCTGCTTCTGTCATATTGATGAAGAACTGCCTGACCGGTGGAGCTGTTATTTATGGTTTTTGTTTTTAAATAGGAGGGGATCATGATGGGACTTCATGACACATCTCGACGAGAGACAGCAGGGCCGTTGAACGCTGCGAATGCCACTATCAAATGCCCCCTGGTCCCCTCCTTTTTGTTCCCATCGTACTCTCTTCATTCGCCACTGCCTTTATTAGTATTGTTTTAAGTGATATTCCCGGCAGATTTGCTACGCTCTCATGTTTCTAACAGAGGTCCGGCAACCTTCCATGCCATCCTAAGGGCGCTTCACCGTGTCATTTTCGTGTGCAATAGCAGCAGCAGCAGAGATACGAGATGTCACGTCCAAGTCTCTGTTATTACCGGAGTGCTATTCGTCTTCTGCAACACCCGGGCTGATTTGGATGAACCCAAGTATAGCACTGACGGGGAAAGCGAAGAGTGTTTGGCCGAAGGAAAACGTCTGGACCAGAAACGGTGTGTGTTTGTGTTTATGTTATAACTATTGCAAAACAGATAAAAAGCACGGAAATGGAGTAACTGTCAGTACTGCGTACCAAGGCCAACAAATTACAGCATGTTGGATAGTTACTTGCGAGACTGAGTAATTCAATGAACTAGATCGATGGCATACTTCCTTATTTTATACCTTTGTGCCCTTTACAGACAGACACACACATCTATCTATATATATGTGTGTGTATAAAAGGAATCGACGATTTTCTAGTTACATGGCCTTAAAGTTATATATCTCAAGTAGAATGCATCGCGTCAAATCGGCGTTACTGTCAGTGAAGAGTTGAGGCCTAGTAACAACAACCTGGAATGCCTTTATTCAGACTCAGAGAAAACAGAGCGCTTTAAATGTGAGTGAAATTTCTGCAAAAGTTCACTAGGTTTTACAGTTTTATTATAGTTAAGGCACAATAGGTGCAGTAACAAATAAAAAAAAATTGGCTATTTATGGTCAAGACGCGTTCTCAGAACAAACGCTTCTGTTGCTTCTTGTAATAGTGGAAAGATAAAAAATTTGATAAAATTATTATGGCCAAGAAGCTAGATATGGTGACAAGAAAGCAAATGAAATTCAGTCGTACATTCATTTGCAAAACTCAATGGAAACATTTTTTGAGCGGTTGGTCAACGGTAATGAAGGGTACGTATAGTACATACATATACATACAGAGTAATCTGCAGTAAAACGTTACAACGCAAATCGATACCAAGCAAGGTTAGGCTTGCTGAGATCGGGCAAGAAAGAATCGAACAGCAACGACTGATTCAGACCTCTTCTGTCAGCAACTGGCAGGGATGGAACGAGCCATGAAGAAAAGCTGCTCGAGCTATGAACAGAAAGCTCGTCGTTTACCATCACGATAATCTCAGAACACGCATACGCTGAATAGCCCGGGTTCTGCACCACTAGATTATGAACTATTTCAATGTCTGCCGAATGCCCTCATCGAGTTTTAATAAAGGAGTGCAAAGATCATTTATCGCAATTTTTCTCCCGGAAATCAGAAATTCTGAAAAAATCACAGAGAGTTATCGATTAAAACGTATTACTTTGCAATTTCGTTAAATTACATGTTAAGTATGTTTACTAAACATTAAACACCCGCATACGTAAGGATAGATTTTACTGGTGGCACATCGGAAAGCGATCTGCTGTCCGTGTGTTATGTGGTCTTTATGGTTGTTACGTGGTCTCTTTTCCAAAACATTACTTCTTTTACTATATTTTTGTTGAACGACTTGATAGATCTCGTCCCGTCTTAGTTCGTACTTTGGCGTAGAATATTAGAAGCTTTTACCTGAACTGAAGGTTCCTTTTTCCTTATTCAGGTTCGTTCGGGTCAAATTGACCCTTTGCTTGCCCAGAAACCTTTTCGATAGGCCGAAGTTCGGCTATACAACACTACGGCCAATTAACGACTTTAGGTAATACTTGAATAAAAAATATATACGAGTATCCATCCTGTTCAAGATCCAACACATGATATTAAACATAGAATATAACGAACAATAATTTTGGATGCCTTACCGGTGGCGTCTTGTGGCAAAACATCGTGTATGCAGACTCGGTCTAATGAGAGGGGCTGTTTATAAACGACATATTTGCCACCTGAGACATTCCCGGATGTTTCGTCGACGTCCACGGTCCCACTGCCGCCGCCAGCTGCCGCCGCGGAAGCACAGTTCACCCAGTTGTCCGTTATTGTTGACTTCTGCTTGTCGACATAATTTAATAACAAGAAAAAAGATTTCGCCCATTTCATGTCACAGATTGAGTATGGTTCAGATGCTAACTATCTATGCCTATCTTAGGTCTAATAACGAAATATGTGTTGATCAAGACTCTATGCTAATCAGAGATGTGGGCTGCTATACCGATCGATATTGATTCTTCCTCTCTCAGAAATCAATAGTTCAGAGTATTGGCAATAACTTTTGCAGAGATAAGTTTACCTTTTTGTTGAGAGCTCTTTTTCGTCGAGTAATGAGAATCATGTCATCGAAAAGAATTAGGTAACATTCTGATGGTCGACCTCCATCTGAAACAAACGAAGACATACGATTATCGGACCGTTGTTGTAGTGATCGAAACCACTGTAGATTACATCTCACTAAGGACAATGTTCAGAGGACAAATCGGTTTCTTGTGTGATCATAGGCATGGACGTCCATTTTGTCACAGTAAACACCCACTTATAAATCACGCATTCGATTTCAGTCCTAGTGTATACTTGGCCTACATAATACACTAGATTTGGACACACTGTTGATTTATTTAACGAACTAATAAAGTGCACTCGTGCTGGTTCGAATGTCAACATTGGCAAAGGATTTCTTAGAAATAGCGCGAAAAATAAAAATACCTGAAGCTATCAATAAAAAGAGGAAAAATGCTGCCTTAGAAGTCTCTTAAAGAAAAATAGAAGGTGAATCAAGCAGGACACACTTCGGCTATCTTTTTTAGTAAGGCAAGCCTTTGATATCACACGGCGGAGATGGTTCTGGGAACTTTTTCTCATAAATCTATATACCCAGACAGTGTAAAGAGACTGAATGTAATAGTGAACAACCAGACAGAGTACTGCATCTGCATTGCCTCTTTGAACAACGAATAAAGAAGATCATTGGCAAAGGTGCCCTTTGCTTCCGAATACATTTTTCGATCCACACACAAGTGCCTTTCAAAGTTTTGCGAAAATGTGCCGAATCTTTTTACAACAACTTCCAGCGTTTAGGTCCCAACCGGGTAGAAACACTTGAACCCCCAGCTTCCCGCATTTTTAGCGTATTATTTTTTTTGGCCTGATTGCCCTGCACAGTGCTTGAACTCTTTAGTTACGCGAGGCTGTCCTAAAAAATTATGCCCAGAAACAGGGATTTTTGAAGCGGCCAAAAAGCGACAGTAGTTCCGTCTAGTTACCAAGCCGAATTCGTTGATAGGTCAAGTAGACTTTTCCTGGACATTTTGAGGAGACGCTCGAAAGTGCTCTATAGATGAGATCGTTGGCTGTTATATGTCAAGCGTGTTTCCCAGCGCTCGGCAAACGACTAAGGCCATGCTCGCCCGTTCCAGTGACTCTATAACTACAATGGACATAAAGTAGAAGGACGCTGCTGGGAAACCCACATAACTGTTAGAAGCGATGTGGAGTATACTGTTAGACACTTTCTGCTTGATCCATCAAAAGCCACTTTCAGTTCAGTTTTGTTAAAATTATCCGGCGTTTAATGGAGGAGGTTATCTTAGATGGCATTTCTCGCCAGTTTGTGCGGGGAAGTTGTATGGCTTTGTCCGGAAAAGTACTTTAGAAGGAAGTAAACCTTTCGCTTGCGCTACCTATGGTGGACACAAACTGGACTGCAGCATGAGCTGAAGAAATAGCAACTTCCAGGTTTGAGGAGCAAGTAATGGAGTAATTACGTCTTCTCTTGCACTGTTGCCTTTTGTGCCCCTAAGGTCTGGCGTCAAACCTAGTCAGTCACTCAGGTTGGCATTTAGAATCACCGTGAACCAACATCTAAAATTGTTTAGAGAACAAGTTTAGAAGGCTAGGGAAATTCGTTCCATTCGCAAAATGTAAAGCGTACGCAGTATAGCTAATCGAGACGCTTATGGTATTAAGGAATAGCGCCGGACGGGTGTCCCGGGTAAGGGGTCTTACGTATTATTTAATTACTCACTAGTATTGTTTCTGAAAATATCACATGAGGATGCTTCGAGACGCTCCGGTTGTTGCAGAGCCTAGCACTTGGAGACTGAATAGAGCTCTTTCCGAGAATAGCTCCGAACGTTTCACCCCCTAATCCGAAAAAGTTCGCACCGTCTCCTCATTGAGTTGGTCACTTGAGGTTTTGAAGTAATAAATTCGACAGAGCAAACTTGGCAATACCGTTCCCGAGTTTGAAAACCACAAGTTAATCGCACATTAAGAAAGGTCCACGTAGATCTTTTCGGACTCAGCATAAACGTTGGCATGTATTTCCAAGTAGATATATGAGAGTGACACGTATAACTGTAACAGTAATATTGCCCTTCTGTTTGCTTGGAGCGAGCGAGTCGAGTCAGCGATATACAGCCGAGCACCGATAACTAAAAGGATACAAATCCTTCTTGAAGTTCTATTCAATAGTTCCAATGAGAAGAGGAACGGTGATGTATAATCAATAGAATTGAAATTGGAAAGATAATTTAAGCCAAATCAATGCGATGGGTTCTCCTGTCAGCACTAATTCAGTAATCATTTAAAACACAGGGGCTCCGCCATGCTTTTGTGCAGTCATGTTTCAAGCCACAATCAAGAAAGACAGCAGAAAAAATGTCTGTTCTAAATAGATTTTATTTTACCATTCAAAATTATTATTATTAGTGATAATAGTTGATCATAAACGCTAAGGTAAGGCAACTGCGCTGGGTTGTGTCGTCGACTGTTGGACGAGCAGCAGTTGCTATGCCCCAAGCAGGTCTTCTAGCTGGCTCATGGCATACTCATTCAAATAACGACTTTAGGTCAAATTTACTACTAACGGCGTGATATGCTGCAAAGCTGCTACATGCTTGCTTAGCAGAATGGGAGAGGCCCAGTTTTTTTTTTTCGTTGTACCAATTTATTGGTGTAACCTGGTTCAGGTTCGAAAAGTTGTGTTTATTTTTCGCTCACTTTTTCGATTACGTTTAGAACCAGGGACGATTGGCCCAAACAAAAAAAAAAAAACTAGTCTTTAGTTATACAGTCGTTTAGCTGTCCATGGTTCAATTAATTAGACAAAATTTGATCGACGAGAACCAGCTGCGTTTCTCCATTTAACTCAGTTCCATCTCCTCTCTGCCTGGCTGACTGGCTTTGAGATTGTGACCGCAGTTCACACGGCGCATGCTTTCTCCTTTGTTTCCGCCGTCGATCGTTCGTTCCGCGAACGCACAGTTCTTGCCTGCCGGTAACTGAATGGTTTGTTTGTGCTGCAATTGCCCAGCGTGTCCTGTGTGATCAACCACAGCTTCTCCCTCTTGCACTTGCTATCTCAATTGAATTACTAGGACTGCTAGCGTCAGCAGGTTCATCGACGGGGCAAACATTTTGAAAAGCTAAGAAAAAAAAAAGTCGCTATTGCAGTTGTTGCGGTCGTCGAGAACCGTTTTCGACGTCGACAGAGACCGGATGAGAAAATATGATAATGAGCAGAGCGCGATGGCAGCAGCAATGCAAAGACACCGTCCAAACCCAGCCAGAATCGCGGCCCAACTATTCTGTCACATGACGAAACTGACGACGAAGAATAATTCTACTATCGTCTTTGCCGTTGTGCGTCGTCGTTAGCGAGATATCGTCGAGCGTTTGCCGTTAACGCTGGTTTTGGTGGGTCCGCAATAACACTGTTGCGGCACGCGTATGGCGTCAATAATTCGTAAAATAACGAGAAATGTTAATGAGTTGCTTTTTTAATCCTTCTAAAGCACAAAAAACGCGAAACACAAATCGTTTACTGCAAGATCGAAAATGCAAGAGGAGGTAAAATATAGCTATATTAAAAAAAAAAACGTTTTAAAAAATTATTCGCAGCAAAGCTGCACGTCCAGAAACACTGACGTGCACCAAATGAAGTTTTTAAGGCTTTTTGCTGTTACTTGGCTCAGTTGAAACAATTCCTTGTTTACCTTGCCGAACTCAACGTGGCAGATACTCATACGACTTGAAGCTTCGACTCCGCTTCTATACCGCAAAGATTCACCAGCCAACCTTACTTCAGAGAAGACAAAAAAAGTGGATTGGAGAAGAAAAAAGGCGCGAGTGGGTTGGCGGCGACGGAAATCTCTAAAAAGAGACAACCGACACAAAGCTTTTGTTTTGTCAAAATGGTTTTCCTTGGGATTGAACCATAGGATTCTTCAGCCCTTGATCTGATCGCAGACGCATGAAGAGGCAAACTGACAGCCCGTAACCATCATCACCCATAACATAGCTAGCTACGAATAAGGACACCGGCAAAAGAGACGAAACTAAACGTCTCCCTTTTATCACGTTCTCGCCAAAATCAACAATTCAAGCCCCGGAGATATCCAGGAAATTCTCATCTCTGGGTATCACACTTAATTGTATTAGCCTTGAGCTCCTGTTCCCCCAACCCAAGCACATTTGCACGCCCAACGTTCCAGCCGTTAGTTAGTCACCATAAACTTGTGACGCTACTGCATGAAGAAACGAAAAAAATGAACCGCAAAAGCTTATTAAAAAAGTTATTAAAGCAAAAAAATTATTAATTGAATTTCACCGAGACCGGGCTAAACGTACGGAATTCTAGGGTTTTGCTAACATCGAAACTTAATTAAATCTTTGCGTTGCTGTACGAAGAGGCGTTTGCTCGTCTTTACCGCATACAGGCTACCTTTCATTCAGATCAAAGTCGGCTTAGCTTTCCTATAAAATGTCTTTTTTGCTCATTGAGTCTGTGCAATAGTGTTAGGATACATTTGGCATAGTTTACCTAATCATTTATTTCCACATAAGTACTCAAGCGCTTTAGCAGGTAGGTACAATTTAGGAATTTATTATAACCAAAGTCTTTTAGCGACTCGACTAGAAACGACTAGAAGCGACTAGAAACTGGCTATTTATTGTGTCTGTTTCTGCAGTTTTCAGTCATTGAGAAATCTGCTCAGCTTATTAATTTCAAATATCTGGTCTGTGAAGTGTGTTTTTTCTTTTATTGTACTCATCATCGATGGTTCTACCACGGGTACAGAGACGATATCAAAACACAATCGTAAAGAGCCGTTCAAGTTTATTCGATCAGATTCGTCCATCAGATTTCAGAGACGAATCATGAGGTCTTAACGAATTTGGCTTAGCTCGATTCCCCAGACGTTCGTTTGTATATTGGTAACATTACTTTGCTATACTATCTCTGAGGTCTTTGTTAGATGCATTGCTCCAGGGCTTGACTAGGTAATTAAGCAAATAGGATAAAACAATATTATAAACAATTTACAAACAAGCCAATTATAATATGTTTTGCTTGTACTCGCATACGTAGAGAAATCATCATAATTGTCACCAGCTCTTTAGCCCTTTAGCTGACTAAAGTTTTCAGTTAAACTAATGGAATTATTGAAACTGGTCGTCCTGTTCTTGTTGGCGAACTAAATTAAAGACAAAAATGTTTCAATACCCAGGCGAGTTACATCTTGTACTAATTAGAAATGACAAGTGATCTAATCCGTTCATTATTTCAGACAGAGGATTTCTCCGGTCCTGTAACTCTTTTTCCCGATGTTTGCTCGACGGTGTTTGCTCACTAATCTAGCCATCGATACGTTTAAGAGCGGTGCCCTAAAGATACAAAACACTTTACCATAGGAACAATTGCTAGAGACCAGTGGAGTCTCTCTAAAATACCGATTGTTTTGAAAACCTAAACGGATCGAGGATTTAGTTTAATCTGGTACATTGGGTCATCACTTTTAATAAAAAAAAAGCCTGCCAGCGTTAACAGCGCGTAAATTATCTATAACCAATACTTAATTAGAGCGCTTAGTTCGGCGCACTACTTACCCATAAGCGTGAGAATTCCCTCGAGAACGATCTGGCGTTTAGGGCTCACGATAAGTTTTTCGCACGGTTGACGACTTAACGCCGGCTTCAAAAACTATCCGTGGGCAACAACAACCGACGGTCAGTATAGACGGGACCCAACCAGGATACAGAACGTTTTCATGGGATCGACAACAGTAGCAGTAAGAAAATCACCATTCGAACAAACACGGATCGGGGTAACTGTTAGTATTAGCGGAATGATAAACGTTTTACCGTTACATTAATTGCTATAACCATATTAATTATATATATGTATCCTATGCGTATGCTTAGATAGGGGTATAGATCAACATCCTACGGCCTTTTATTCCCTTTGCCTCGCTAGAGCCTGTAGTAGTAATATTTTAACGTTGGCGAACGCAAGATCAGTCGGCATCATATAGTTAATCGATTGCGCCTAAGTTCATCCGACAACTATTTCAGAATGCATTAAAGTTTAAAAGTTACACTAAATATAAAAGTAAACATTAGCTATTCTGCTATAATTTGAAGAGACATCTTTTGTCAGTTTGACTTACCTCAGGCACAAAGGTCTTGGCATCGAGTTCAGTGACGGAAGGCCACACAATATTTCTTTGGATCTCTAGAAGACGCTCAAAGTTTTTTAACCATTTCATTTTATCATCAAGCTCGCCTGTAAGTTTAAGGATTAGGTTGATAGTTATTAGGCAGCGTCTGATGGACAGAAAGGATCTTTTTACGCCGCCAGCATTAATGAATATCATTTTCTACAGCCGATCAGCGGCGTGATAGTATCGTTATTTTATGCGACCGGCCCGATAATTTCCACATCGACTACACAGACCCTAACTCTGCGGAGACCTGACAATTTGTGTATTATGACAATTTCCTTGGATAAATGATAGATGGCTTATTCCAGGCGAGGCAACGTACGCAGCGAATTTTCTTCAGCTTCGAGGATCGATCCTATAGCGGCACGCTCCTGATCTTCATCTGAACGGGATTCAATTTTACGCAGTACCAGCGGCACTCGCATGATGTGTTGCACCGGAGATACGAGCAAATCCGGTAGCTGCAGCTTCTTGCACCGCACGTCCTTATAACACCACTAAAACAGTATAACACAGACCAACATAACGTTACTGATATGGCAGCGATAAATAATTACTGTCAGAGAAAGTTTCACTTTATCCTCATGCCTTCGGCAACAAGACACACGAGCCTTGGTTCTTAGCAAGTTTAACATGTTCCCTGTCTTCAAGGGACAAATTCACACGATAACAATTATTATTACGCTCGATACGCGCACGATTGTCATTTAATTGTAACTTTCTGTAGGCCTCTAAAATCGAGCTGCTCTAGATTTACTGTGTTTCATTGGAATCGTTGTTAAATTTGCCGTACGACTAATCACATAAGCAAAATCTGTCGGCATTATGGATAGATTGTTGCCCTTTTGACGTAATGAGCACTTTGAACACTTACTTACTTACCTTTTCAAATTCGACGAACTCGATCTGTCGACGCAGCGTTTCAAGGTAATTTAACGCGTTGATATAATTGAGTGTGTAACGATGGTAGGCCTGCCTCATAGCAGTTACCTTGCAACTTTTTGTGAATAGCTTAAGCAGCATATCGCCTGTTGAAACGCTGTCGGTGCTTAATAACAGGATAAACTCCTTGCAAAATCCGTATGTGACGCAACACAGTTCATCTAAATTTCCAAACAACACTTCGGGTTCCGCGAACATTGCGTAACCTTCGACCTGAATCTTCTTCAGCGGTTCCATAAATACCTGTATTAAGACACGGCGATGAAATAGGACGCAAATTTAAGGAAAAAACCATGCCCTAAGGTCCTAGAATTATATCACGTACCAACACTGCTGCTATTGCATGAAAGCAGTGGCCAACTATCACATCAGTATGTGTTGTTAATGCGGAATCGTCTACGTGTCGCTGTAAGAAGGTTAAGGGGTTCTCCCCCTCTTTTTCTCTATCAGCACATAACACTACGGCGGAGTTAAGTGCCTCGCGAGTTGCTTAAGCTAGCTGGAAAACATTGTCTCACTCAGTTCCTAGGAGTCTCAGCTTGCCCCTTAGCCCCCCATGGCCTCCTATAATAAATAATATTGGTCATACTAGATATACGATTTCCTTGCATAAGTTGTCGACAATAAAAAAACCTTTCCATACTTCGATGAATCGACGCCTATCTATCTATAATGCTCGGGCTTGTCCGACCCAAAACGACCCCTTAGCGAAAATGGACTGGGCTATTTTGTAGGCTGCTAAAATTCCCCAGTGGAAGGGTCTGCGTGGAAATTGGTGCCGATAGAACAAGGACTTTTACCCGTTAGAGGATACTATTTGTTTTTTCTTATACAGCGCAATATTAATTTTATTGGTCTTAAACAAAGGACGGCAACTTCTTTTTCATCATCCACGTTTGAAAATAACGCTGCACTACTGTTCAAGAACATTAAGGGGCGAAGAAAATATTAGGCCACAGACTATCAGGCTGCCGATACTCGACGTTACCTCTGTCATTATAAATGTGATTAACTTTTATCTCTACACAGGTAAAATAGTATATGCTTGATCGCAAAACAGGTCGGGGACAGAGCTTATGTGTGGACTCTAGTTTACTACCGAAACTCAGTGTCTGCTCGGTTGTATGGCCCAAGCCGTGTCCGTAGAGTGGTCGAATTGGGCCTTTTCTTGGGTCGGTAGAGCTTCATCCTGGTAAGGGATGCGCGTATCCATTAGAATTACTTTTACCTGGGAGGATTTTGTTTTTTCCATACACCCTATACAGCGTAAGATTAATTTGGTCAAATTGTTAGTTTTTGCGATTTGCTTCCAAAAGTTTATACCTAAAAAGTTGTTTATTTTTTCAGTCTACAAAATTATCGCAATACTGAATTTGAAAGATATTTTTTGATTAGTCATAAAATGGTGACTCTCACCTCAGTAGTTTATAGAAAATGGAATATTCAACAGCTCTATTGATTTTTTTCAAGTCTGCGAGTATGTTTATCCGGAAGCCAGTCTCTTTTATCTCTAGGAGACGAAGAAAGGAGATGTGCTGCTAAATTAATTAGTCCCCAAAATAGTAAAATCCGAACCATCTCTGCATGTATAATTTATATTTTTCTGGCGGGTAAATATTTTTCCCGAGCAGTGGAATTCATTTAGAAAAATAAACTAAATAAACGCCAACTAAATGTTAAAAAGAAAACTAAATAGATCAAATTATTATACTGTTCTTATTAGAAAGCGGGGATAGCTGTAGGACGGGTGCACTGAGCCTAGGTTAGGTAAACTAGCGCCGCGTGCACGGCTAGAGATTAGTTTTACATACAACAAATTGAGTACAATTTTTGGGTTTCTATATTGAGAACTTTTAAACCGAGTTAAGTTATACGTACGCAAGAATAAATGTAGTAGATTGATTGAAGAGGTTACTGCGATATTCGACTAAGAAAGCGGAATTATTCCAGCGAAGTAACTGATTATGGTTCGAACAAAGTAATAGAAATACCTCTACCAAACGAAATTATTTGAAACCGACTTGACCAAAGAAATATAATAAGATAATTAATATAACAGTATAAATAAATGTAAACTACAAATATTTATACATTATCTAATATTACGTTTACATTACAAATATCTACTAAACAAATATTATTTATAGAGTTCTATACAGGAAGAGTCGCTTCAGATACGAGTCAAAAGCTCTCGAAGGACCGTCTCCGATCATAATATATGTTTTAATACGTAAATCTCAGCTTTTAAGTTAAAAATAAAACCGAAAACTTACCGTGATGCTCTATACTGTAAATGTGTTTTTTTTTTTCTATCAATCAATAGATCTCGACGAGCTAAGCAAAGATGTATGATTAATTACATCGGTTTACGTATGTAATATTGGGGTGGGATGAAACCTCGCTTTGCTCATGAAGACTTACCGCAGTTTTGAATAGTCTTTTAAGTGTATTTCTAGAAAATCCTGAAGGATGAAGCAATTGAAATAAAGCTGATTTTGATAAAACCTTTTCCTAATCAATACTCGGTGAAGAAGATCGAATTGACAAAACAATAAAATTTCTTGGAGCCAACCAGCTTGCGAAGAACCAAGTAAAAATTTAACACATTTTCGTTCCCAAAATGGGCATTTCACAATGAAAAGAGCAAAAAAATATATTATTGTACGCTGAAATGGAACGAAAATTTATTCAGAGAGATTTTCAACGGTTTTTGACTGAATCTTTCATAAATGTTAATTCTAAGATTGAGATGGCTTATATGGCTAACATTTTAATTAAAGAAATCTTTTTGGAACATATTCCAGGAAATATTTTCTAGGAGAAATATAAAAGGCATCTGTTCTACACATACGGCAGCGCATTACTGGTGCTAGTCCTTTAAGCCAATCGATAGATCTAGACCGATCAAAGATGTTCTTGCAACTGACTTTTCAACACGAAAATGTTGTTTAAAGGGTAAACATTTAGATAATTTTCTATGCAGGATTGTTGTCCAAGACATAGTGACGAAATAAGCAAAATAATAATAATCACCAACTACTTCTGGAGAAACTTGACGTCTAAAACGTATCGGTGAACTATCCAGCAATATGTCAAGCAAGGGTACAATATGGTAATTACGCTATAGTTTATGCATTGTATTAAATGTAACGTAAATCAGGTCGTTCATTTTTGAGCAGACCTATGAGCTAACTGCGAAAGGATAACGGCTTAGGTGCGATAAGGCACTTACACAAGAATAGCAGCTACTGGTTTCGATGTAACATCAATAAATGAAATCAGGTAAATTAACAGCGGAAGAGGCGTGGGGTTAAGCTGGCAGGCCCATGAAATCACTGTACACGTTTCGCCTCAAGAACCCTTTTTTTATTACCCTTTAGGTTCTACTTATCAAAAGTCGACGATCTCTCTGAGAAAACAAGGGTGTCATATGATAGAAAGGTACAATTTTAAAAAATAATGATTTGAGTGAAACCTGCTCACATTTTTAAGAACCATTAGATGGTCATAAAGGAACATGCATTCAGATTGAAACAGATCCCACATAGCTTCCTTCTTGCGGGCTCCCTCCATGCTGAAGATGCTCGTAGCTTTCGCCGGATTTTGAGAAGGGCTTGGGATCTGCTTGGATGAGGTATTACTATTTACACTGGTACTTGTGCATCTGCTAACACTCGATGGCGATCCTTGTTGTTGTGGTTGTTGGTGCCGTGTGTTATAGCTGAAGGTGCCGGTTGGCTCGGGAGAACCAGGCGACCCACATTCGCCAGCTGTGTGGCCCTCGGTGCTACCCGATGTCTGAAGTGCCACGAAATCGCTCCACTGAAGGCCCTACAGGTGCCCGACGAAAAAGACGAAAATAGTTTGCGGTAGGTCTATAACGATTTCCGATTACATCTAAGTGTTCTAGCAATTCTATGTGTGTACGTAATTTAATGTAACTGTTGAAAACGTGAATGTCTGGGGTTACCGAGAAGTTCTGTTAGATGCTCGATCATTTTATCAGTTCATCTGTCACGCGCATTATAACCATCGTTCTGGCGCTCTTACATATATAGACCAGCTAGACTGTTATCCGTTAGTTTTTAATTCCGCATCGCTTTGGACCAACTCATATCTTCTTCTGATACTGCTACGGATTGACTGAAGGGAGCGGCAAGTGAAACCGGATCAACGGTCTAAAGTCATTGTAATCAGGTTCCACACCGCGATGGACGAGCTACATTTCTGGAGAAGAGGACCTGAGCCCCCTCCGTCTTAGTAGAGATAGACTTGTCTCTATGAAATAGCATGCAATGGGTAATCCATTGCTCTCTCAGTAATTATTAAATTAAGACTCAGCAGCAATTTTCTATGGGTAATTACAATTGCAGTTTGGCATTTGATAGTATATGCGTAATAGATTAGGTCCAACAACAAATCCTTGAGATAAGCCCACTGTTGCCTTTCAAAATACCCGTGTCGGATAGGTAGAATACATAAACGTTTTGCTAATATGAATTTTTGCATGACATTTGCCTACATTGCATCCAAGCCATATGTTGTACATATTAATATTAAATTTCGTCATTAATAAGATTGACCTCATATAGAGAGGCTTCAACGAAAGTTTGAAAGCGCTTATTTAACAGAAAAATCCTTCATTGGTTGAGTTTACTCATTTCCAACCCTATAAGAGCACATTATAGTTTAAAATGACTTATACAGATAACATATTTGTTTTTAGTATGGCAAATATTGCGCTTCCTTTCAAGGGTCGTTTCGGAGGCCGAGTTGCGACCTATTCGAGTCATACACACACACACACTACCACACACAGAATTGTTATTTGAAGTACGCTAAACAATCTTGTATTTTCTTGGCAAATTTTTAGCTAGCGTTTATAGCACTTACTGACATATCAATATTTGCTTTCAACCCTCACATTAATGAGCTCTACATAATAACTAAATGTTTCTAACCTATATCAGCTGCTTTAAAGGCAACCCAACCTCTTATTATTAGGATGATCTCATCAGTAGAAATGTACCGTCTGGCTACTTCTACACTCGGTTATGCGAAAATTTTATTAGGCTCATGATCTTATTAAACGCGTAACAGAGCGTAGAAAGGTGAACGCGTTAACAGAGCTTGTAAATACCTCTCTGGAATCACGTTTCCTTTCGAAGAAACATGGGAAAAGCTACTGGACAATGGCAACCACACAATCGCTTCCCTTATATCAATCAAGGACAACAAAGGCCGCAGACCAGACAAGCAACCCTTGAATTGTTTATAGGAATCCTGTGCCCCGTTGCCTTCAGAGTTTTTCGTCTTGTTTATCTTGATCTTATCGTGTACTTTTATTGCCTGTCTGCGTCTATGAGTAGCAGCGACGCAAACGCATGCGCAGCAGCCTTCAAATATTAGCAGAGCAACAGCAGATCCAGCAGCGGCAACGACAAACAAACGAAACAGGGTCTTCGAGACAAACAGTCTCCGACCGTAGAATCACGAGCGTAGGGCCAACCATGTAGCGGAAACTTAACGACCTTGCTTATGTAGAAACTTTCGAACTAGTTCGCCTAGCCAACATTCTGACAGTAACTCTTTCCTTTGGTTCGTGCAACGAAACATAGTCGGTTCCTTAAGGCACAGTTGCTACTGTCGTTTTCGCTGGCTGATAAAGGGCAATAGCAACAGAAGACAGTAACCTCAACAGAACTTTGAGATGACCTCACCCCTTCGACACAAGGAAGTGACGGTAAGCACTGAAGTTGATAAAAATAATATTACATTGTTCACTGGTCAGTGACGGTTTATTATAGCCCTAACGAAAATGAACATCGGCCTGCTCACCACAACGCTTTTACTACAAGACAAGTAGCCAAACACACCCACCTAGTGAAGATGTGGGAGTATGCCGATTTCAAACAGCTGTACCTTCCAACTGCAATGGAAACAGTGCGGCTTACTAGTAAGAGATATGAAAAAGCCTTAAAAGCTCTCGAAGCACAGGAATTGGTAGATCCAAAATAAGCATAAGCTAGTGATTACTTTCTTCAAAACTATCACCTTTGGCGGAACATTTCTCCCGATCCATGTAGTGACTTATGCAGCATTAAAGATACATAGTTTCACCCCATTTTGTTCTTCTTCTATCTACATGGGGGAACCGATAGTTGCCTCAATTTTGCTAAGGCAGTGCCGACAAAGAAAGGATATCATCCGCACTGTTTTAAGTAAGCTTAATTGGCCGGAAACAAGTTGAACAACGAAGTTCAAGTTGTAGTTAGTAAAGGCTAGTTATTATTGTCTCTGCAGATACTTTCCAACCAGTTCTTTCTTCTTCTCTCTTTTTTAACCTACGCAAACCTCTCCGAACTGCGACAACTGCTGTTTGAAGAGCTAGGGCTGCCAAGACGTGCGCCACTCAACTAGAAACCCTAATACTGATTTAAAGGATCTCGAAAAAGACGACTATTTTGAAAAATCTCAAAGTACCGTTTCGAGAAAGGTACTGGTTTCCCTTAGTGAGACAAAAAGTCTCGTTGACGTACTTTTTAGTTACTTGGTTTTCGCCATTTCAGTCGCGTCTCTGTCCTAATTCTGAGTAGTGATATAGGTTTGCTTCATGCAAAGCAAGGCTAATTCGACCTGTTCTATCCGCTTATGCTCACAGATACCCCTTCACTCTTATTTCCTGTCCTGTTTACATGAATGATGACATGCACATCAGCGTTAGGCCGTACGTAACGCCGTGATATTTGGCTGAGCAGCCGACCTGTCTATTGCATAACGTTCAGGTTCTGTTTATTAACATTATCTGCATTATCTTATTAATTGCTCTGTACATAAAAGAAAAGAATGATGGCGGTCATTCTCATTACCGGACATTATCTGCACTCAGTGAAGGTTACTATTACTGTGGGATAAAAATAGGTTCTATGGAAGTGTTGTGTTTAGATTTAATGAGCGAGCGTCTTCAACTCCGTGACCTGTGTTATTAAGCATTTCAAGTTAAATTGTGAAATAAAAAGTGTTTTTTAATTATTTACCTTACAGTGTTACAACTAAGGGGTCCTTGTATCAATATAATTGATATAAAAATACAAAATCTGATCAGAGATCATTAGGTATTTCTCTGGTCATCAGTGTGCTGATGAGATAAGCCTGCCGCTACTTTTCGTGTGAATAGTTTATGTTAATAACGCTTTGATCGCTGTGAAAAACTTGCCGTTGTTATATACAGCATTTTCATCCTATTTCTTCTATTGGTCCGGCTTTTGTTGGCGCCGGAAACCAAACCGCACATTAGCAGTCCGTTTATCAAAATTGTACGAAGCGTACCGAGACTAAGTCTTTGAATATTTCTATCGGCGGCAAGAACCAAAAGTTCAGATCAGACGTTTCGCCTTGGCCGCCCTTTAAGTAAGACGGTGCCGTTACTTACCCAACTACAATGGGCCTGGTTCTCGCAACTGCGGCATTGAAGCCAGAACTATCGGCGACGGACGCGGCCGGCACCGCCCTAAGAGAGATAGGCGAGTCTTCTAGGCCTGTATTTCTCCTTTTTTTTCTCACTTTCCCAGTCAAACAGCGAAAATCAATGGCGGAGCGGAACAGGAGTGGAAACAGCAGCAGCGTATATTTCTGCTTGTTCCTACCACGCGAACTCCATTTTGCTCGACGATGAGCTCTCTTAGTGGTACGGCTGCGGTCCGTTCAAGCCCGGTACAATGCTCATTGACCTTCCCATGCCCGTTGTGCCTCCTGACCTTGAGTACCGACGAATTCTTATCGAAGAGAACTCCCTTGACCTCGGGTGGCCCTTCCCGTTTTGGTTGTCGTTGTGGTCATCTTTCGTTTACTCTGTTCATCTTATCGTTCTCCTGAACTGACGTCGTCATCACCAACAAACAAGAGTCTTTCTGCTCTGACCGCAAGTAGGAAATCGGGATACAGCGAGCTGCGGAGATTGGGATAGATTGCGGAGAACGGGGTAGAAGATGTGGAGCACCACAGCTTCTTGGTTACCTTTCGCTCAATCCGAGTCTCAGGCCAATCTGATACCCAGGCTAACCCCGGGATTCGGTGTTAGTGCATGAATCAGAGGCAGAGAGAGACACCTATTTCTTGCTGAGCCGCTCAGTGAAACTCTCCGTTCTCTATTCTTCTAGGGGAAAAGGGAGCGACGTGAAAAAAACCCTAAGAGAACTGCCGATAAATCAGGCTAATGCCAGTGCCGTAACTTTTCAAAGAAGAGATAACATTACGTAGCATTCATTTAGTAGTTTTCTCATCGACCTTCAGTTCCTGCTGCCTTTGCGATCCCGCAAACCGTGGGGAGCGTATATAAATCGGCCTTTGAACTGACTCTAACCATAGCGAAAAGCCTCGGAAAAGGTTCATCTGCACAAGAGACCGTAAAAGCCAGAAAAGCGGAAATGGTCCGAAACGTGCCATCGAGGAAGGGGGAATTCTAGGCGTTGAATTGTACCTCTGAGTGTATCTTTTTAGAAGAGAAAGGCACTTTGTCGATTTATCGCGCAACAATAGACGGCAGGAGAAGCCGGGCGCGCTTTTGATCACGCTTCGGAGAGCTAGCTTGGTATGAACCCACAATTTACTTAACCCATTCCGTTGTTGTAGACAAAAAAAGACGCTTTCGGTAACTATCTGAATTTCGTTCTTACCCCAGGCCTCGAGAGGTAAGTATCTATTTGATATTAAAAAAGGACTGACTTCGCAGCAGAACGTCGGTGGGCGTAGCGGACATTATTACTCTCATCAACAGTTTTCCCGCAGTTGCCACCTCAATTTAACGGCATCCTCTTTATTCGGTGATTAGA